TGAGACCAGCCATCCCCATACGCGGACGTATATGAGTGCCAGAGTGCCTCGGGGTATCTTCACGTGCCCGAGCCGTGAGAATTTGATCACCGTGGATACCCTTCATAAGGAGTATCCCGCGGGCTTCGCATCTTTCAGTGGTGATAAGTTCGTTCTTCACGCTGGAGGATGCTGCTTTCGTATAGCCTTTGAAAACGCCCCTGGTGTTTCGCTTCATCCCCAGATTGAAAAGATTCTGCATCATACCGTCTCGCTCTACGTGTTGGACACCAACTTCATTGTCTGGGCACCTGCACTTCGTCTAGGTATGGAAATTCCGTTCGAGTTTGGCCTGCCGACATTGAACGGAGACGGGACTCTTGACCTTCATCTCAAGCCGAGTGAGCTCATGCGGTCTTCGGAAGGCTTACCCATAGCGGTACGAATCCGTCGAGCCCAAGGGGACGAGGTTGGGATGGAGGACATTGAGCCAGACCTTCGAGCCATGATTCCTCACGACAGCTCGCTAAAACGAATTCATGCCATGTATACTCGCTGGTTGCAATTTTATCAATCCACCGAAGGCGAGGACGTGGCGGCGGCTGGAGAAACCGAGATCCGAACCGTGAGCGAGAACTTTCGGCTTGGTCACGGCGGAGATGCGGATGATCTCGGCTTCGATGAGCATCTTTGTGAGGGCGATGCTGGAATGAACATTGCCATTGAGCTCCAACCGGTTGGAGCTGTAAGAAGACACAGGGACTACGAGCGCACTACCTATTCGAAGAACCGTAGGATTGGATAGATAATCTCGTGGAGCATTTGCATTGGGAGACTTGATGTTTTGTGTTTAGGAAGGAAAATATAGACAATCGACTAAGCCGATTTCGCAGCCATATCGAGCATGGCATCACCAAGGCGTAGCACTACAATGTCCTTCAGTAGAAACAAAGCGGTTTATTTATCTTTAGGCAAAAATTGTGGATCAGTTCAACACAGGGCTACACAACCTTATGGTTATCATGGAATCCTGTCCCACGTTATCGTCTTTTGAGTACCGTTCTTATCGAGAAGATCACGGATCATACAACGGCAAACAAAGAGATACAAAGTCGGATTAATAAACGGCCTATCCCGAGATCACGAGTGGCGTTTTGACCATCCAGATAAAATTAATTATATCTTCCACAAACAGGACCCTGTTCATCCGGTTCCATACAGTCCAGAGGCTTTATAGATCCAGCGCACTCCGATTCCTTGTCATCATCTGGGTCTCATGAAACTGGCAGAGGAGAAGTTCCAGTACAAATCCCATTTCTTCAAATTGGGACAGGGCAGAATTGTGCCTCATGATGATGCCCGTTTTTGGAATATCCTCATCGACACACCCACTGAGGCAAGCCATGTCTTTGACTTGCTCACGGCATCTGATATCCACAATGTGAGAGACCAGAATCTTCCAAACTTCTTGGTTTTCATCAGAGTTCTTGCTGGGAACATAGTGAAGCTACGGGAGGAACCGGGCCAGCGGCTTGTCAATTGCATTCGCCTTTTGACAAGGCTTCTTCCATACTTGTATGAGCTTCCCAATTACTCATCTGACATTGAGCTAGAGTTGTTCTGGAACCAGGACTTCCATCCTGATAAGTTCTGTGAGAATCTGGTCCCACTTACATTGCTACTCCGGCGAAATTCAGTGCCTTTACCAGACGGTACAGCTGTTCTTGCAGTGGATTTGGTACAATCGCTTGTGAAGCTATTGTTTGTCAAAGACTTCACGACAGAGGATGATCTGGGCTTCTGGGAGCCCGGAATAGGCTACCTGGCGCCTTACAAACAGCCAGATCCCCGGCTCGATGTCAACAGAATCGATATTCTACGCCTTTTGTTGGTTTTGACGTCTTCGCTGTACTACCTTCTGCTGAAAGACGTCACGACACAAGGATCTCGCTTCTTGACAACCTTGGTCTCAACATTGCCCAAAGCGGACCTTGTCCATTTCCTGTGCAGCCTTGTGAACATCGTTTGTCGGGCTGCTAGAGTCTCAAACCAGGATAATGGCTTGAACTTATCGAATACCACGCTCACAGAACTGCGCTACGCTTGCACCAACTATGCTTTTCAGCTTCTTGTTGAAACCGTGGTCTATCCCCTACCATCCTCCGCTCATAATGAGTATTTACGTGAGTATGGGGTGATTCCCAAAAAGCCGACAAACGCAATACGGTTGTTTTTTGGTAAGCTTTCCAAGGAGTCAGAGGTCAAGTTTCTTGCTACACACTTACTCAACTACTTGAGATTCCCCATCTATTCCCTAAAGGATGAGGCCAAAAGACGCTTTTTTAAGTTTGGCCAACCATCTTTATGGGCACTTGAAAGCACAGCAATACTATGGGAGCTACTCCAGTGCAACAAAACTTTCGCTGATAGTCTAGGCCCAAGATTCATCCCAAAACTAACACCATATCTTGTTTATCACATCTTTGCATTTTATGATTTGCCTCAGCATTTCAGTTTGGTCAAAATCATGTCACACTTTTTGCTTTACATCTCTTCCCTGGAGGAAAGAGTGCGGACCTTGGTGAACAGTGAACCATCAATAGATGGATTTCCACCGGAGGTCAAGGTAAACGGAGTTGGCACTACTAGAGATTTTGCCGTCATAAACATTTGTCAAGTTTTGGGCAAGCTTGCATCAAACAATCACACTCAAGAATCCAAGCTTCATTCATTCTTGCGCCCTACCCTAATAGAAATTCTTTACAACTTGATTCCCACAGTCAATGAGGAAGTCAAAGCTACAGACATATCATCTAAATCCATGCTGAACGTGAACCCTATGGGCGGCCTTTCTTACAAGGCATCCACCGCTGTTGCGCTGATAATCTTGAAATACTCAGATAGGAACTTCTTGCTTGAAGATCCAAGCAATCCTTCCATGTTGGCACTCTTAGTACGTGCATTATGTGCGTCTGCGACAAAGAATCCGTCTGCTTCCAGGATGACACTCTTCACTTTTCTCAAACATGAGAAAGCATTTGATCACGTCTGGAATGTGATTTATGGATTGAAAAACGAGAAAATAGAGCACGATCCTCTCGAGAACGTGAATGAAGAGGAAGAAGATGCAACAAGTGTTAACTCAGACGTGAACACAAACAGTTCCACGATTAGACCCAATACACCTTCAACGCCTGCAAGGGCTGCAAATCCAGGAGCCTTTTCTCCAATTCCGAACAACTTTACACCGGTTCAGGACCCTCGTTCGCCATACACTGTTTCCTCAAATGCCACCTCCATTGACGATGGCTTCATTGAATCCACGAATAATTCACGGACCAGTATCCACGAAATCGATCCACTTGCTGCTCTCATGGAGGAGGAAAAGTCACTCGCAGCTGCTTTGAGACCAAATCCACCCACCGGAATGTCTCAAAAATTCAAAGACAAGCTCCCTCTTGAAGCACCATTGAGTCGATCATGGGGTGGAAACGATGCTCTCAGAATAATCATCACAATCCTTATTCCAAACTTGAAAACAGCTTTGAAAGAAGTTTGGTCCAAGCGGGATGAGTGCAATTTTGATAATTTTTTTATTGTCAAACAAATTGAGAACTCCAACTTTGAGGACATCATTGAACTGAATAGAAAGGATATCAATCATGACTTTCTTCCTGACACGCCGATCGACAAGCTTTCCTTCGGCTGGAATCACAAGGCACTTGGATGGTATTTGTCGATAATCAATAGCAACAACTACAAAGCGGCAGATAATATCAAGTTATTTGTGGGAACAAACAACACCTTGATGAAGAACATCTCATCTTCCATTGCGCTGCTTGGAAAGATTGCGTCCAGCTGGTCTGGCTTATCGTGGAATAACGCAAAAGACGATCCCCAGGAGGAGGAATTGACGAAATTTGTCGAAAGCAATACGAGCGGCATAAACCCATGGGCTCACACGAATGTTAGGCTTTTCAAAGTCGACGACGAAAACGACAGAGCTTACAACCCCTTTGGGCTCAAATACGGCTCGAACAGCAACAACAGTGTTTCCGACCTTACCAACTCACTCGTGAAAAAACTTGGAGATTTCAGAAACAGCAGCAGGGGCAGCATTGTGAGCATTTCGTCTATCCCACAAGAGGATTCTGAACGTCCTAAGCTCCACACTAGAAATTCAGTGAGTTCGTTGCATTCACTCAACACCCTCAACAGGACGAGATCAAACACCCCGAGGAATTCAATTAGCATGTAATTTACAACCATTTTACCTAACCTTGTCTATTTTATTACCCGATGTATGCATTAGCGTCTACGACCCTTCTTCTGCACAAGCTCAAAGCCATCGTCGTCAACGACAGGGCCTTTTGGCTCTTCAATGTGGGTCTCTTCTATCCTCTCGACTAACTGTGGAACTTCCTCTTCCACATCAACATCCTCTTCGTCCGAACTTGGATTGTTTGGATCTGTGTCTATCTTAATATTCTTTTTGGTTGATGAAGTATTAGCCTTTTTCTGGTACTTTTCATAAAGCTCATCCACAGAGGTGTATTTTTTTGCTGAACACTCCTTGTAGAGTCTCAATATGAGAGCGGCTATTTCAAGGGCCGAGTCGTTGTCGATCTCAGTGTCAAACTCATCAACCATGGCGAAAAGCAAGGTTTCCTCGATTAAAATGTTGTCGACTGCCTTCTCTTCAAAAAGGTCAATCACAACACCAGAGAGCCAGTCTCTCTTTTCCGCGCTATTGGGACCTCCCCATGAATTTTCAACAGCTGTGTTCAACTCGTCCCACTTGTAGACGGCCATGCAAACTCCTAGTTCAAATTTGCCTTGTTGTTGTGGGTCATCGAATCTGAGTGAAGTTCTGTCATCCTCAGCACGGACGAAATCCGTGGGGTCAATGGCGTACATGCTCATGATGAAGATTGTAGTTGGTGATGATCATCGAGATGCCGCAAAGTCTTGATAGTGCATACGCCCGTACACCAAATACCGGGGTCCCATCAGGGTACCTATTAAAGCATAGGCAATATTGCCTGGTCTCTCCTAAGGGCTGCCAAAACCTCGTCTTCCGAAATGTTGAGCTGAATCAATCTATAGCGCTCGCTTCTGAGATTTTGTTGTGCGATGATTCCGAGCTCCTCCATCTGATTCACGAGGCGAGCCATTTCGTAGACACGAATATTTCTTGGATTTCCGTAGCAAAAGTCTGCAAAAGAATCGTGTGATTCGATTTTTTTGAAAGGATTCGAGCTGTCTTTTGAGGTGAGAAGATCGAGAGAATTCTTCATTTCGTCCATGACATCACCTAGTGAATTCTCAGCTAGACCTGATCTCCTCATCCGGAGAAGTATACCCACAAGCACGAGCTTTGACTCGAATGAAAGCAGATTGAGTAGTTGTGCAATTGGGGAGTTGATAGTCTCATTGATAGCTTTTGAAATGTGGCCAATCTGAATGGTGAAGGTTTGCTCAGACTCAGGTTTTTCCAAATCCGTTTCTGTTTCCAAGAATTCTTGCTCAGCTATCTCGACAGCTCTTCGACAGATTGTCAATGCCCTACGGGCATCACCACTGACACTTGCAACTTTTCTGGATGCAAAACCCACGGCGTCTTTGCTCACTTGGACCTTTCTTTTATGCTCCTCACTAAGCATAGTGAGTCTGTTGGCAATGATCTCACCCAAATCATCGAAGGTGTAGCCCACAAACTGAATTCTTCTAAGACCCAATCTGGAGGAAATCTTATTTGTAAGCACTCTTTCAGGGAGATCCATCGTGTTTGCAACAGCAATAATGATAAGCTTAGAATTGGCATAGGTAGGCCAATTAAAGAAATTGTACATCACAGATTGTGTTTTCGTCACGATTTGATCGAGTTCATCGAGAAGCACGACCAACGGCCTTCGTGGTTCTTCGGTATCATCTTTACCAAAATAATCATCCAAAAGTAACGCAGCATTGGCGGGTGTCACCTTAATGCCACTCACAAATTCCCAAAGCTTTTCGTAAGCAGATTCAGGTGATAGAAGTTTGAGGCAGTTGATGTCCAAAAAATCGAATTCATTCAACAACCCATCAGCGACCGAAGATTGAAGGGATCGGATAACTTCCTTTATGGTAGCAGTCTTTCCAACACCCGGTGTTCCACTCACGTAGACACAGCTTCCTGTTTGAGTCTGGATCGCATCTTCAAGATTTGTGTATACCGCTACCCATTCGTCTTCTCTTCGTGGTAAAGAAGTAATGGTGGTTGACGTGTGGAGCTTCTTTTTGAGCTCTTTGAAAGCCTCTGACGACGTGTCAACGACATTTTGTGACTGTTTGGTGCTTTTTCTGTTGAGGGAAGGCAAGCTTCCCACAGAGGTACCAGTCTTCACCTTAAAACCTTTCTTAAGAGGAGATAGAACGTTTTGTAGATTAGATCTCTCGTTTCCGCGAGCTGCCGTGGCCCGCTTTCTTGGAGACTCGGATGCTTCTTTTTTAGGGGTCGAGGCTTTGCGCTTTTTGGTGGGTTTTGGTTCTGAAGGCTCGGCTACCTCAGGCTCCAGATCCAGATCCAGATCTTCAGACTCCTCATCTTCGCTCTCCTGTTTCACAAAATCGTCTGAATCAGAGTCCTCAGATGGGGATTCGGTATACGTCCGACGCCTAGGTGAATCTGAGTTCATAAGTCTTTCTGTAAGTGAGGAGGTTTTCAGCTTCCTCTTCTTTGGGGATATGATAACCAGGGTGTTTTCAGAGATATATCGAATGGCACTTGCGTGGTCTTTGACCACAAGACTTCTCAACTCACTGAAATTGAACTCTTTTGAAACATTGTCTCCTTGGGAATTGCAAGCCCGTCTGCATAGGTACGTCAGTGATATGCTCGAGTCGTCCAAGACAATATCAGCAAATGCCGTGGAATCAAGCACCTGAATCTTTTGAACAACGTCATTGACCTTCAAGGAGCTTATTTCCGGAGTAATGAAGACCTCGTTCTCTGCAACTTCCACACCTTCTAGCGTCTCTTGATCTATTTGATCTTTTGTGATGAAGCGAGCGCCCCATAGTTCCACAAACGACTTGAGGCCGAGCTGAATACTAGTAATAATGTAATAAGAAGGCCTGACATCTGATATCAAAAGGCAATCGCCTGCTTGGATCACCAAATCGTCTTCTTCCCTTTGTAGCTTGACACTATTGGGTTCTGTAGATTCGGCCCTTCGACGTGATCTTCGCGATGGAGTAGCTGGACTGTTACTGGAATCATTCTCAGGTTCCTCTAGGACAATCTTCCAGTCTCCCAAATCTTTTTGTCTTTTCGCCATGGAGCTGTTTTCGAAAGAGAAGGTTGATGTACTTCTAGTGCATTATGCACACCAGTACGAGAACGATAAGAAATGTATCGAGAAAAGAATAGTAAGGTTTAGATCATCTTGAGGGAAAATTGATAAAATACCCAGCTCTTCTTATGTATTGGCTTACGTTTTGCTCTTCTGAATCGGGATAGGTCGAGAGGTCTCGACAAGGGTACCCCAACCCCAAAGTCACACACAGCACTTTTCTACAGAGTGATCTTCGTTAATTAGCATGAGATGTAACTAGCAAGAAACTAGATATTAAAATGATGATTTCTCGTCGCGGACCATTTGAACAACATTTCGGACCTCACGAAGGAGGTTTGATTGATAATGCCAAATGAGCCAAACGAGAAGGTTATGCAGTGGTGGCCCAAGCAATTGCTTCAGACAACATTCGTAATTTTTAGAAAATCAAAGCTCTCACGAGTTAGCGCCGTCTTTCTTGTAAAGCAAGATTGGCTCGCCGACGTTGACGATCTCTTCAATATTGAGCTTGAGATCGAATGCTTTTGACAATATGATCTTGAAAATCTTTTGAATATTAATGGAATGACTTGTTGAGCAGAAAATCACGGGCAGGCGCATGGCCTTACCGAACTTCTTTGCCTGGTTGGTGATTTCGGTTTGATCTTGGGGCAGCAAATCGATGAACTCGTCGTACTTCGTACCAATTAAAAACGGAATGGCGGTTTTGTTGAACCCACGGACCTGCCTGTACCATTCCTTGATCGAGTTTAGTGTGGACTTTCGGGTAAGATCGAACATGAACAAGATGGCCACCGCGTCGTTAGACACCAAAGGTAGCATATTAATGAATTCTTTCTGTCCGCCTAGATCCCATATCAGAAATGTGATGTTCGTGTTTCGTATTTGGATTTTCTTGTCCATGAAATTGACACCTAGTGTCTGAATGTAGTCCTCGTCAAAGCTCCCCTCGACGTATTTGACCATAAGTGAGGTTTTCCCGATCTGGGAATCACCGATTAGACCGATTTTGAGTGCCACCCTGATGGTTAGTATTGATCGACATCATCAAGCTCTCCAACATACTGGTTGCTTTGGCTCTCCAGAGATTCCATAGTGCTGTGATGTTTCAAACTACAGTGTTTACGTTTTGTGCATAGCTCCCGCATAAATATACACGTGACACGACTGCAAAGGAACCCTGAAGAGAACGAGTTCGTCCATACGATTAATCATTTGAATAATTATTTTTTTCAGATACGATTGTTTTTCCGTGTTTCTTCCTCGTTTGGTTTGCTTTTGAAGCTTACGGTCCGGGTAGGCTTAGTGAGTGAGATATCGTCTCAGTCAGGTACAACATTGAGGTGACGTTTTTGACAGACTAGACGCAATCCACAGCGATGCAAACGGAGGATACATTTTGATGAAAGGTTCAAATCTTTTTCCATTTCCTTGAATCTTGTACTGTAGACCGCTTAGTAAATGGTCACCAAAAGGCTTAGATGCGAACTAATGTCGGCTTTATTTGACTACCATGACGACGGAAAGTCGGACTTTCAATTCTCGAGGAATTATCTTGTATTCGATAAATTCTGTCGGCCCATTTTCTTCTTTGAAAGGCATCAATGGACAACATTCAACGTGAAGTTGTGTCAGATCTTGTCGTTCAGGCCATATCTTACTACAAGCTATTTAGCGACTGAGACTGGGGTAGAAAAAATCTGGCAGTATAACTAAAGCGAAGTGGTTGCGAAAAGCATACGACATTCCTCGACTTACTTCATTTGAAAGTGTCAATAAGCTTCTCCACGAAAGATTACGGGTTCTCCATCAACTTTACTGTTAACGTCTAGCTTATTACTGGGAGACACTTTGAAAGGCTTGTGGGTGGAGTAGGGTGCCTAGGGCTGAAGCCCTCGCACATGACCTGTGTTTAGCGCTCAGGTGCCGGCGGTTTGGGCCTTGAGCACATTGTCTGCACACCAGCACCCCAGCTCAGGCTTCGCACGGTAAAAAAAATTTCCTGAAAAAAGATAGTATAGGTCTCTTCCAGAAAGAACTCCATCTTTTTAACTACACAAATATGGCTGTTGGTAAGAACAAGAGATTGTCTAAGGGTAAGAAGGGCATGAAGAAGAAGGCCGTCGACCCCTTCGCCAAGAAGGAGTGGTTTGACATCAAGGCCCCATCTACCTTCGAGAGAAGAGACGTTGGTAAGACCTTGATCAACAAGTCCACCGGTTTGAAGAACGCCGCCGACGGCTTGAAGGGCCGTGTCTTCGAGGTTTGCCTTGCTGACTTGCAGGGTTCCGAGGACCACGCCTACAGAAAGATCAAGTTGAGAGTCGACGAGGTTCAGGGTAAGAACTTGTTGACCAACTTCCACGGCATGGACTTCACTTCCGACAAGTTGAGATCTTTGGTCAGAAAGTGGCAATCTTTGGTCGAGGCTAACGTTACTGTCAAGACTGCTGACGACCACGTCTTGAGAATCTTCGCCATTGCTTTCACCAAGAGACAGCCAAACCAGGTCAGAAAGACCACCTACGCCCAGTCCTCCAAGTTGAGAGAGGTGAGAAAGAAGATGATCGAGATCATGCAGAGAGAGGTTGCCAACGTTACCTTGTCCCAGCTCACCGCCAAGTTGATCCCAGAGGTGATTGGCCGTGAGATCGAGAAGTCTACTCAGTCCATCTTGCCTTTGCAAAACATCCACATCAGAAAGGTTAAGTTGTTGAAGCAGCCAAAGTTCGACTTGGGCTCTTTGTTGGCCTTGCACGGTGAGGGTTCTACCGACGACAAGGGTAAGAAGGTCTCTTCTGGTTTCAAGGACGTTGTCTTGGAGTCTGTCTAATCGCAAGATTACTGTTTAATACATACACATTCGAAGAGAATACTGTAGGAGCATTTGGTGGGTTATTCGTTGCGATTGCAAAATTTTCATTTTCCCTGCAACCCGCATGGCATTAATGTAGAGCATGAAATTTTGAATGAGAGTACCGCTGAGTTGATTCATATTTCATAAACAGCTAAGTTGCCATATTGCCACGTTCAATGGCCTTGGAAGCCTTCCGAACATTGATGAAGCCGTTGGAAAAGTTGAAAAAGTTTGACAGTCACAACGGTGCACCATGCGTGTACTGGGGTGCCTCTGGATCTTGCAATTGGGCTAATTTTGTGATCACTAAAATGTGGAAACGTCCAGATATATGAAAAGAACCGTTCATTCGATTATGCTACCCAGCTCACTCGATTATGTTTCTGGGTAGATTGTCAGGTAGCTTAGTGATGGTTGGGTGAATGGAGCCTAGTCAACCAACCAGCAGAGCAGACGTGCTATAGATATAAGCGAGTAGTTCAAAAGCAGTGAGGGCGAGTATCCTATTATTATGCCATCTCTATTCCAATTTTACCGAGATCTGGAGATCTTTTGTCCTCTCAATTGTAAATCTTGTGAGTGTACTCATTAGGCAGCACTTGCAATATCATCGCTCAGTCCATGCTCTTTCCGATTGCCACAAAAGTCCGAAGATTCCGTCGAAATCGAACGTCATAGAACACTTCAAAACCAATCGAACTTGCTTTGGAATGCACTCTCCCCTGTCCCTCTCCTCTAAGGTTGCGAGGTCAATCTAGTCTCAATGCAGCCAGTACTGACGTCACCAACCAAAGCCCTCCAGACTCTCTGACCGTCCTTAGCTCCTCTTCTACAATTAAACCCCCTTCTGGTGACTCTTTTCCCGTTTCTGGCGACTTGCGTTATTTTCTAATGCTCATCCATATTTCCAATCCTCTCTGAAAGCCATTTCGCAGCCATATTCTGACAAGAACGTGGAGAAACGCAGGAGAAGCGGAAAAGCCAAACCACGCAACCACCACAAAGAGAACAAGTCCAATAAAAAATTGAACGCCAATTGACCAATCAAATACAATTGCCGCATTTGCTAGGTGGCCGGCTCCATCGGCGCTACCAGTCCAGCGGCACTTCAGCGGCACGAAAACCACTCAATCAGCAACCACCAAAGCCAGGAACCGGTTTCTTAAATTACCGACTCCTATCTATTGCCGGCTGCCAAATCGCCAAATCTCCATAAATCTCTACATGAGGCGACAGGGCAGCGCAGCGGTAGACATCCCCATGCAGAGGCTACAATCTGGTCTGAGACACCGGTAGCAACAGACAACCCCCCATGTCCGACAATGACAAGAAAACCACCCGATCCGCTCGTCCCACCTAAGTTACTTGAATTCACCAACTGCCTCCTACATCAAAAACCAATTGAATTCCCTGACTCGCCGAAATGAGTGGACCGTGGCATGGTAATGGCAGCGCGATCGGTGGATCAGCGGCAGGCCAGCAACAGCACTCACCACATTCCATTTGCACCCAATTTCACAGGTTTCGCGGCCATTGTCAGCGGCGGATCTACAATGGCACCTCCGCTGCGGACGTAAATGAAAAAACGACGGGGTTTTGGGTCAAGAAAAATGAAAAAAGCCCACAGAAGCAGCGAAGTGGTGGAAAAGTTACAAAAGTGGGCTGCTGCGCGGTCGAGTATCAGCGGCAACTAGGGGTTGGGGCCGGCACGGCTTGGTTCCTGGACTGCGCCTTAACGTTGGCGCCAAAGCGCGGTTGCTTGCTTAGCAACTGAAAAAAGCAGAGCCAGATTAATAAAAAAAATGGCATTCAGTTTTGTCACTTCAATTTAATTGAATAATTCCCCAAAACGTAAAATCATTTGTAGTGTTGCTGGGTCCTCGTATCTAGTTCCCCCTTGTTGAATGCAACCGAAGGTTAGTGCCGCGGCAGAGAAGGCGTGCACACTGGCCGGCCTGCGGCTGACAGCTTCAACTTCCCACTTGCCTGGTGCATCGTATACAGCGTTCCGAATTCCTGGATGTCGCAAGTACGTACTATTTTCTTTCCATGCCAATTGGGGTGCCAAATCCGCTAACAAGCAAGAAAAAGTCAAAGTCGAAATCGCCGTCGCCCTCCCAGGGCG